AAAAAAAAAAAAAAAAAAAAAAAAAAAAAAAAAAAAAAAAAATTTAAAAAAATAGCCTAGAACTGTGTTACTGCCATTATTTTTCCTCGGTGAAATACTGAAAAATGTAGTTGTTCAATACTGTAAGATTCAGCCTCTTTATCTCTGTGGCAGCGCCTGACATTTTGCCTAATGAACAGGCCAGAATTATTTTTGAAGTTGTGGGGAAGACCATTTCGGAGATACAAGATTTGGATAGAAGGGTGAAGGAAACACTGGATTGTCTCTCTAGGGCAAAAAGTAGACGGAGCAAATTCAGAACGCAGAATTTAGATGTCGCTCCCGGCTGTATTTCAATGTCAGTGTTAATGGAATAAAAAGCGACCGCCTGGGGCGGGGACGGATGTCAGGGACCTCTGGAGCCCGGTGAATGCTTTTGTAGTCACAGCTCGGCTCCCCCCTCTTCTCTCGGCTGGTGGGCCGGCCCGGGAGGGGGCGGGGCCGGCAGGTGAGTGGCAGCGGCGCGGGCTCGCGCTCCCTCGGGCTCGTGCGTGGGGGTCCCGCCGTGGGGGGAGCGGGACGGGGTCGGGAATGGGAGTGGGAATGGGAATGGGAGTGGGAACGGGAATGCGGATGGGAACGGGGATGGGCCCAGCGTGCCGTGCCGCGGCCGGGGCTGCCGCTCGGAGCACGGCCAAGCCCCCGAGTGCCGGGGCCGCCGTTCGTGAGGCTCGTACAGAATCCCCAGTTCCGCAGCAGAAGGAAAGGGTGGCAGCGGGAGCGGCCCCGGCCCCTCTGCGCAGTGCTGAGGCCGCGGCTCCTTTCTGTGCATCGCAGGTGCCTTCATGAATAACTTAAACGACCCTCCCAACTGGAACATCCTGCCCAATCGGCGCGATCCCGGGGATGACGGCAGCCGGTGGAATTACGCCCTGCTGGTCCCCATGCTGGGCCTGGCCGCCTTCCGTGAGTAGCGCTGGGCCCCCAGCCCAAAGGGGACTGCTGGAGCAGTGCGGTGACAAAGGCATGCCTCGTCTGAGCACTTCCTCAGGCCTTCTTGTTTATGATGTTATGAACAACAAGCACTGTTCATACATGGGAGTTGATTTCATAATAATTAAGATGCAATTTACAAAGCTYTCTCAAGGAAAATGGGCACAGGATGTGCTGGAGAGCCCAGAGGTAACAACCCCAGATGTTGCTGATGTGTATTTATTTACTGGGCCTAGGAAGTTCTTTGTGAAGTTCTTGCATCATAAACCTCCAGTTTTGTTTCTCCATTATTTTCCTTCTCTAATCCAAGCAGTGCAAGTATTGGTAATAAAAGATTAGGGGTGTTTTATTTTAGAGAAAATATGATTATTTGAAGTGATGTACTGTGAAACAGGGATCACAGAAACACATTTTGTGTGAACATGTAAATAGAAGTGTCACTGGGGAGGGCAGGAAAGCTTTTTGCCACTTAATAGCTTTATTTGAGCCACAGTTAATTAATCATAGCTATCATTTTTACATGTTATACTTGTATCTGAAGTCTCATTTATATATGATAGGTTGGATCTGGACCAGAGAATGTCAAAAAGAAATAGAAAAAGAGAAACAAGAATACTACAAAAAGGAGTCAACTTTACAAAAAGACCTGGAAGGCAAATACCGGGATATAATCACGGAGAATCGTCGTGCTGTTGCTCACTTGGAGGTGGAGCTGGAAAAGGAACGCAACAGGACCCTGAGTTACCGGGAAGCCCTCGTGTCCCAGAGCCGCAAACTAGTGGAAGAGAGAAAGCTCCTAGAGCAGGAGCAGGTGAAGCTGGAGCTAGAAAAACAAGTCCTTTTGAACTCAGGAGCAGAAGGTACCTTGTACCAGAGCTGCCTGGCAAAGGAAGAAGAGTGGCAACAGAGAGCCAATATTTTACTAAAAGAATTGGAAGAGGGACTGAAAGAAAGRCAGGACATCTATTGCAGTATTACTGTACCCAGAAGTCAGAGACTAGAAATAGAGAAAAATCTGCTAGTTAAAGCAGCAACTAATCCTGTTGCTATGGCTTTAGATGTGGAGAGTGGCTTAAAAGATATTTTCAAACATGATAACTACTGTGGCAATGTGCTGAGCAAAACCAGAAGTCAAAACGGAAAGCTTATGTGGCTGTATTTGAGATACTGGGAACTAGCTGTTGAACTGCAGAAATTCAAGAAGGTAGAAAAGGCCATGTTAGGAAAACGCTAAGCAGGGGAAACAGTGGGATTCYGTGTGATCCACCATGTTTGGTAGGGACAATCATGGTTGTAGTCCAAAGCTGTTAAATTMTTCTGCTGTGTTGCCATCTCTTCTCCTCCTTGCACTTGTATTTGCATGGGACATGTGCGGTGCTGGTGCCTTTCCTCTCACTAACAGCAGATGCTCTGGTGAGCTGTGCATGCTCTTAAACCCCGTGAGTGTGTTTGTGTTGCAGTATAGAGATACGACAACTCCCACAGGTATCAGAAGCAGCAAAACAACTCAGTGTAGGGGGATTTGCCTCACTGATGGTCACRCTCCATCAACAGAGAAGTGTGGTTTGTCTCTCCCATGTGAGGTAGCACATGGTGCTCCTTCTCCCTCACATTTTACATGGTGTCTCAACAGTCTTTTTTTTTATTACAGTTATTTTTTTTATTGTTTAAGCAAGACTGATTTTGAGGCAGGTGTTTCGAAGAGATGGTATTGGAGCCGKCTGCTTGACATATAAATCCTGCGTGTCTGTATGCACAATTATATAAATACATATATATGTGTGAATGTGTGTGTATGTGTTAGTATTCAGGAGGGGAGAATAGTTTGATCCTTTCTCAGATTAATTGRTCTTGCATTGTCTTCCAGTTTAATATACAGATAGTGCTTTATGAATTAAACATCCAAAAGATGCTAATTCAAATGACACGTAAAGGAGCAGACTGATGTCTCATTGGCTCTTGGGATCCATTCTCAGATATGAGGGAGTATATCAACTGGAAGTTTTATTTTCATACATTGGATGTACCTTAAGAATACCWATATTTCTTTCATAGCTGAGGTTTTAGTTGTAACTCAACAATGTGTCACCATTTGGATGTCCCCCTGCTGCTGCCTCTGTCTCCCAGGGCACTGGCTRCCACCTGGTTTGCCTTCAGGAACCTCCTTGCCATTGCACCTGGCCCTGCTCCTTGGACAGGTCCTGTTTGTTATTTGCAGATGGGAACCTAAATGCAGCCTGCACTGGTAGCCACTACTCCCTCTCTGACTGTCTCCCTTCTCCCAGAACTGAAGTACATACTCTTTTTGCACTTCTTAAATTTTGTGCTTGTGGTTCACTTTACATGCACGTGACCATGAAAGCCGACAGATAGACAAGTTTTGCAAACTTTCTTAAGAAAGGCGTCTTGTTCATTAAGTGAGTAAAATAAAGTGGGTTTGGTAAAAATAAAATAATATGTACCGTAAAATAATACAGGAAAATAAATGGATCCAGATTAAAAAATCCAACAACAAATAAATTTTAAAAACCTAGTGCATTYCAATACCTGAAATTTCTTAGAACTTTGAGTATACTTAGGGTCCTTTCAGTGCTAGGAACCACCTTCTTTTTAAAATGTGCCATGCATTTCAAGTAATAACTTCTTTCTTCCTCCTTTCTAACCCAGCCTTAGACTTCAAAGGGGCAGTGTTTACCCTTTTGTTTATATCCTCTAGTTTTCTCTGTTACTTGACTTTGATCAGTGTTGGTAGGTTGTCAGTCTATTAATTAGCAGTTTGATATTTACTGAGGGCTAGACTTGACAAACRTATTTTCTCTAGGCAATCACCTAGAACCATGGCTTGGGAGCAGTCCAGCTAAGTGAATGCCCATCCTCCTGCAGATGTGGGGGATTTTCTCTTGCTATTTTCTCCTTGTTTCATTTCAGTGTGAGCACAGAAGACAGCAGATAAATCTTTTGAAATAGTATGTGCATCTTAATCCAGTTACTAAGCAGAAATATCTAACATAACAAAATTCCAGCCAGATGTTTCCTAACTACCTGGTTTTCCAGTTGTAACTTTGCTCACCTTGATAGTAGTAGTTTTTTTGCTGTGTTGATTTATTAGTCTTCTGTATACTATTTTTTTTAAATAAAGTTTTAGTAGATAAACTTGGAGGAAAAAAATAGATCACAAATGCCAGAAGGGCCACAGTTTGTCTGGGTGCCAAGCATATGCAGGTTGGGAAATGAGAACACAATTGAGTTTCTACTGTATGCGATGCCCTGAGCTGACCTGCTGCAGCTGGACATAGACACACACTCTAATTGCCCAGGAGAACAAATTAGTTTGACTAATTTAGCCCATGTAATTCCTTCAGGATGTAGAAAGTGACCATCCAGCTCTAGCGCGTTTCACACGTACCTGCAGGCAGTTAAGCTGTTCCTCTGACTAAGAGCATCAAGTCAATGCCAATGTATTTGAGATTCATGCCTTGAACTTGTAAACTTAGCATTAAAAGGTCAAAGATTTTATGCTTTTTCATTTTGTTTCATAGTTTGTCACACATACCACTCAAAACATTTAAAGACAATGTAATCAAGGTTAAAATACTATTTTTTTTCAGTATAAATATGTACATTCAAACCTTATACTCCTGATTGTACGGGGTTGGATGCAATGTAGAAAAGCTTTGGTATTCATTTTCTCTCTTTTAGAAGTGTCATTTCTTTGTACAACTAATTGAACTATTGTTCTTGGACCCTTTGAAGATCATTATATTAAGACTGAAGAGTTACTTCAGAAGACTTTTTTAAAGTGTATAACTGGTTTAGAAGCACTGATGCTGTTAGGCTGTACCAAAACTTATGTTTGTAGGTATGCAATGTATTTTTTAAATGATCCCACTTTGTAGGCTGTTACACTGAAAATTCTAAGTTTTCTCTTCCCCAACACTTGTACGGAATTGGTTAATTGTTTGAAATTGCCCATACATGTTATGTAGAATGCAAGAATAATTTGTTTTCAAAGTATTAATGAACTTATTTTTGTTATAAAATTGTCACTCGGCTGTCAATAACAATTAATAAAAACCTTTACATATTTCTGCACTGTTTTGTAACTTGGGCAGGGTGGGTGGGAGAAGTGGAATTTGCTGTTTTATTCCGATTTACCAAGCTAATTGCACTGTTTTAGGTTTTATGAACTGTACATTTTTTAAATTGGCACATGGAAAGTTTTGGTCTTAGTGCTGAGAAAATAACATGTAAAGTTTTTTCTTAGGAAAGAACACTGTTGAAGAGGTAAGTGCACCAGCATTAACTAAAGATGTTAGTTAGTTAGATGTTAGATGTCTAGTCTGAAAGACTAGAGACATTCCTTTGATGGAATGTTGTTTGGGACRTTCTGCCTTCCTCCAGAATCTCTCAGATGTCTCTTTCTGCATGTCAGCTGCTTTTCATTTCCCTCATCTTCCTGCTTTCTGAAGAACTGCAATCCAGCTGCTGTAGGACAATGTTCGGACACTTTGGAAATTCTTTTTCCTATAGTAAAAGATCCTCAGTCTATTTGTATTTGACACAACCCTTCACCATCCTCTGGCTCTTTAAAACATGCATTTGAGCACTCCTGTGTGAGGATGAGAAAACAATGTTCCTCAGTGGAGCATACAAGGCAGAAACAGTGGTCAGTTATTGCAAAATTAAAGACACTTGAGTTGTTGTGATAAAAGGATGGAAGTCAAGTTTACAGTTGCAGTTGTGGTGCAGCTGGATAGAAGGCTTTGCTGGTGTGTGTTCCATGATCCACATTTATTGGTCATTAATTTAATACCTGGTCCAGGAATGTTCCCTGGTCCTTGTATACGAGGCAACAGATGGACCTGCTAAGAGGTAACTCGCTGAAATTYAGCGTAGCTCAGCAGTGAGGCAATGGCCACTTCAAAACAGCGAAATTCGGATTGCTGCAACAGAGAACTGAAACTAAACTGAAGTAAACTGAAAGTAAATGGTGCCTCTGGAAACCTGGAGTCTGCAGATGGAAGRGTTTGAAGAGATCTGGGGCATTGTGAGAACAGTGGTGGCAACTGCTCACAGTCATGCACCCCAACACCCTTGTGCTGACACCCGAGCTGTCCAGCTGCTGAAAAAAAAATGCCTCTTAACTCTTGTGTTTATAACAGGTTTAAATTTATGAGATACCTCACTTCTAAACTTAGCAGGATCAGAACGAAATCCTGAGCTACAGTGGTTGGTGTTTGTCTCGCTGGATGCTGCTTCCCCCTTGTGGCTGATGGCTCTTCCAGCCCGCAGCCTCATCCTGTGTTCCCATGGGCTCYGCCGGGGCACATCTCCTAACGCCACCCAGTCAGAGGTCTCTGCCCAAACACCTCCGGAGGGTAATAACAATTACGGTGAGGAAAAACGCGGTGTTCCGTGACCGAACCAGAATGAACTTGTCTCCACCGAGGTGGGTACTGCGGCAGATCTCTGTGCAAAGGCGGCAGGCAGCGCTTGGGTGTGGTTCAGCAACCTGTTAGCGCATCATTGTATACTACAGCGCTGGGAAAAAAAAAACCAAACTGACAAACTTGGTTAAAGAGCACCGTTCATTGCTTAATAAGCCAAGCAGCAATATCTACAGCTGTCAGCGTGTTCTGCTGCCTGCTGGACAAGAGACACTTGTAGGACAGTCCCCAAGCGATAGCACTTCACKAAAGAAATTTATAGGGACTCATCATAGAATGGTTTGGGTTGGAAGAACTCATCTAGTCCAASCCACTTGAAATGAGCAAGGACATCTCCAAACAGACCAGGTCACTCAAAGCCCTGTCCAACCTGACCTCGAGTGTTTCACCAGAGCGTTTCACACTCTGGAAACTGCATCTACCACCTCTCTGGAGCAACCTGTGCCAGTGTTTCACCACCCCTGTTGTAATAGAATTCTTCCTTATATCTAGTCTAAACCAAATTTAAACTCTTTTAGTTTAAAACAGTTATCCCTTGTCCTATGGCAACAAGCCTTGCTAAAAATGTATCCTTGTGTTCATATAAGCTCCCTTGAAGTACTGAAAGTACTGCCTGAGTATTTTCTTCTCCAGGCTGAACAACCCCAACTCTCTCAGCCTGTTTTCATAGGAGAGGTGCTCCAGCAGTCTGATTATGAGATCAGACAATTTGGTGCCGTCCACAGAAGCTTTTCTACCCCTATGCTACTTACCTGTAATTCCCCCCAAAGTTATTCCAAAGGTGAGATGTGTTCAAAGATGAAAGCAATGTTTTGGTCATCTTCTGATGGTATATAGTGAAATATTAAAGATAGAACATCTTCCTCCCTGGTGTCAACTTAAAGAACAAAACAACAAAGCATGCTGCTGCTGGAGCTGATACTACTTCAGTAAAATATTTATATACTGAAGTAAATATTAGGCAAACTACCAGTATAGACAAATATAACGATTGGGCCTCTTTCTGAGAGGTGAARAGGAGAAAGAGGCCACGTGGGCATCAGTGCCAGCTCAGTTTTGGATGAATTACACCAGACATGCTGTTCATAGCTTGTTCCCTTTTATTTTTCTGTGGCTAAGGACACTGCTACTTCCACAATAAACATGACTTGATGGTATCTAGACATGTCAGATTGCTGTAGGAAATTCCTTGACACCATAAAACCGCTCCAGAATGGGTTGCATGTGTAAGTCATTGTGTGTAACATCCTGCCTCTGTTGTGTTCCCAGTAGCCTGGGACAGAGTTCCARCAGCTCAGTGCTGTCCTAGTCCCCCTCTGCAGTGATACTTGTTGGCACAGAAGGACATCTCTCCCATCTGGAGAAGTTTACAATCTCCTGGGAAGAAATTTAGCCTCCAAGGTTTGTTGGGACATCTCCAATGTCTTTAAGATATCCCTGCTTGAGCTGCTCTGGGCTGGTGGCAGTGGCTTTCAAACACTCACATAGGAAATCAAATCCTGCCAGCTGAGGAGCTGTGAGATATGTGCCTCTTGGTTACTTAYCAGGTAGAGTTTGAGAACAACAGAGCATAAAACTTAGATCAAGTTAAAGATCTACAGATCATTTATTGGCAAGGTAAACTGCATGACCACCTGTGATTGTTTTTTACCCTTAAAACTAAGCAACKCAGAAATATTTTGCCTGCATATCTCCCTTTCTAATATGATTATTGTCCCCTAGGCTGGGGATTTTGAGTCTCCTCCTGAGCCTGGGGTTCAGGAGTGTGTTTTTGCACAGCTGGTCAAGGAGCCAAGGATCTTACCCATTGGCAGTTTGTAAAAGAATTTCGTGTTTTCTCCACCTATTTTAAAGGATGGAGTGTCAGAGAGGCTATTTCATTTAACCTCTGAATTTCTTCTTCTTCTTCCTCTTCYTCCTCTTTTTCTTCTTTACATTTCCATCTTTTCCTGGTTTAGGCCCATTACACAAGCAGGAGTAATTGTATTGCTGTATATGATGCTTTGAGTACAAAGTAGAAGCTAACTGGAAAGAAAATAGGATTAGGGCTAGTAAGATAATTCTATAGAAATACTGGAGTAAGAGATTTCACACCAGTATCTACTGCAGTACTAACAAGGGTCAGAAAATAATGCAGTTAATCCTAATAGCATATCATAGGGAACTATGAAAATGTCTGGAGAGTTGCAGATTTCTCCTGTCATACTAGCATAATGAAACCACAATGAAAGGATCGTATTTCATTTCATGCCTGAAGCTATGCCTGGTTGCAAACTGTATTGGCAGTGGTCTCTGCTTTTCTCAATGGCTTTATATGAAAGGAATTGTTTCTTYAAAAGAACAGTTCCCTGTCCTGTGGTGCTTCTTCCTCTTTGTCCTCCACTTCACAGGATCAAGATAAAAAAAAGTTCCTCCAGTTCAGTCTYCTCCAGCCCATGGCAGAGGMCAGAAGAATCAYGGAWGCATAGAATATCTTGAATTGGAAAGGACCCAGAAGGGTTGTTAATTCCAACTCCCTACTCCTCACAGGAGCATAGCATATAACTTTACATAGCTGTAAAAGATTTCAATTTGTTTTYAAATTATCTCATGTTTTATTGTGACAATAAATAGGAACAGTTAATACACTATTATGAAGCTGTGCAGAGCAAGTCGGTTGGAAGCTGTTGCACAAGGATTCTG